TATATTGTAATTTTAATAATTTTTATTTTTATTATTTATTAATTTTTTATTTTTTAATATTGTATAACATTATTGAAATTTTATAATTTTAATCTCTATAATTTTATCTTACTTTTTATTTTATAAATATAATTTAGATTATTTATTTTATAATTAAATTAATTTTTTTTTTAATTTTTATAAGTTTACAAAAAAGAATGTATTGAAATCCCTCGATCTTTGAGGGTACCGTAACAACTCCCTGTTTAAAATTCATCTTTATGGATTACATAAATAGAAGGAGTTCATTTCTTTATTTTTCGAGATCCCCACTTTTCTCATCTCTTTTGACGTTACTTTTTCTTTATCCATAATTAACGTTGATGTGCACGTTACATAGTTTATGATAAAGAATTTGGGCAGTGTATCCCATTTATTAACATGGCTCGTACGAAATAAGTATAGTTCATATTTTATTGAATAATCATGGCTATTGAGGGGAAGTATATCTTTTTGTGAAGAAGAACAAGGGTTATACGGGATGGAGAAAGAATTGAGGATAATTTGGGTTAAAAAGAGAAGAGGAGTGCATAAATGAAAGAAAGAGTGAAAGTAGTAATCGCCAAGGATTGAAGTAGTAGCGATAACTTTTTAACTGATAATTAATTACCACGACACAACACAGAAGGAGAGGCAGATGGGAAATTTTTGTTAAGAAGGAGGATTATCATATGAATGGGAGAACATTGGACTCTTTTATGTCAATGGACACTTCACATAATGCAACGTAGAATTCAGAGATGGATCCCAGCTTTCACTCTTTTCTTGTGCATTTAGCACATATGGAATACATTTATGTATATCATGTAAGAACACATGTTTTTATTGTCCTTAGACTACGCAGAACGCTGAAGGTGAATCCAATGTGAGACAAGGATTCACGTTCAACGTGCCTAAAAAAAGTGTAATCTAGCTAAAACATGCACATCCTAAATAGTCAAGAAAAATACGGGAGTGCAGTCTCATGCCTTCTTTACGAGCCACTCCTTCACCTTCACACCATTTTTAATAATGCAGGACTAACCTGAAATTACTATCTTGCAGCAAAATCCGATTAGTAGGACACAAACCAAATGAATGGTTGGTTTGGTCTCATGAATAAAGACTATGTTATCTGGTTGAATCCCCATGTTCCTTTCCTAATGCCCTCTAGGGTCTCTAGCACCTGTTTCATCGATGGTCTGAGTTCCTTGGGACATTGCACACACTGAAAGGCTAACTCTGCCACTGCTGTTATCATTTCTGTCATGTTCATGTCAGAACCAAACCAAAAACTTGGATCCACTACCGCATTTAATTCCTTGTTTAATATTTTTCTCTTTGCAAACTGTGCAAGAGTAACATAATCTGTGCCTTCCATTAAACTTGGGGGGTTGGATGATATGAGTTCAAACAAGACCACCCCAAAACTATAGACATCACTTTTGTCACTGACCCTTCCAGATTCATAGTAGTCAGGATCTATGTAAGCACGAGTCCCTACTGGTATAGTGGATACGTGAGTAGCATAATCTGGAAGAGACCGTGAGAATCCAAAATCTGCAACTTTAACAGTAAATTTTTCATCCAAGAGGATGTTACTCCCTTTTACATCACGGTGGATGATACCTGAGTCATGAAGATACACCAAGGCAGTTGCAGTTTCGATGGCAATATTCAATCTAGTATGCCATGGAAGTTTACCACAGGAAGATTCTCGAAGATGTTTAGAAAGAGTGTCATTGGAGATGTACTCGTACACCAGCATGTGTTTGTTGCTATGGCGAGAAGTGCGGCCATAAAGTGATACTAGATTTTGATGATGCAAGAGACATAAGATCTCAGTTTCTTTCATGAATTGCTTAATGGTCTTTTCTGTCTCTATCTCATCATGGAAACATTTAATTGCAACCTCTCGCCCATCTCGAAGTTTTCCTAATACAATGGCACACCATCAGAACAATATAGATATATGCATATTTCTTGCATGGGAAAATTTGTTAAAGTATGCAGAATAATTAGCCCCTCACCATAGTACACTGTGCCATACCCTCCCTTTCCAAGACAAGTGTCAAAATTGTTTGTAGCCTCTTCAAGTTCAGCATGGTGGAAGATTTTCAAGGCTGAGATGTAAGCATTATAATTTTATTAGACATGAATAAAAACCTTTTATCCCCAATCTGTTGACACCAAAAACACATAAAAGCTAGAAAACCATGAGATAGGAAAAGGAACAAAAGATGATTTTATTATACCTTTTGTTGAGTTTGTTTCATATCTCCCTTGCTTTATGCCATTGAGAATCTCAAGCACCTATTCCATATTTGGCCTTAATTCTTGTGGACATTTCATGCACACATGTGCAAGCTCAGCTGTAGCAGTCATCATCCATTTGATCTTAAGGTTGGATTCAAAACCAAGTCTTGGATCAAACGACTCCACCAAAGCTTGGTTTTCAAAATTTCTGTTTATAAGGGTAGAAAGATTACCCTCTTCATTCAGAAGCCAGTATTTTGCTAGCACTGATGTTAGCAGTTCACACAACACCACCCCAAAGCTATAAACATCATTTTTTACGCTAAGCCGGCCATTTGTCAACTCTGGGTCCATATAACCACATGTCCCAATTATATCACTAGTAACATGAGTGGCATAGACAGGAACTTCATCTGGAAGTTTCCTTGATAAATGAAGGTTAGCAACTTTAGCACAAAAGTTAACATCTAGGAGAATATTGCTGGACTTCACATTGCGGTGGATGATGCCATAATAGTGAAGGTAGTCCAATGCATTTGCAATATCAATGGCTATATCCAAACGTGTCAGCCAAGGTAGTGTGCTGTTTCCGGCTATTTCACTTTGAAGATGAGCAGCAAGGTTGCCATTGGATAGGTGTTCATGCACTAGAAGAGATTCCTCGTTATGCGAAGCACATCCATAAATTGAAACAATATTTTTGTGTGGCAAGTAATTTAGGATAGTAGTTTCATTGATAAACTTTTGCAATATGTGGTGCTTGTCTGCATTAAAGTACTGGATTGTAATCTCACGTCCATCCTCAAGTTTTCCTAAATCAAGGTAAATAATCAGGAGAAAATATTTCCATGAACACTACTTGGAGATGTTTAGGTGCCTTAGCTGTTAGTTCCAGTTCTTCAATCAGAATTTCACCTCAGTATTCACCGCTGACTTTAAATATCAACCTTTTAACAAGTGTATTTTACCATGGCAAAATACCAATTTTAACAAGTGCACCAAAATCACTTAAGGAACTGACCCAAGCTTTGTGCTATTTCTATTGGACAACACGTATTCAGTTTTTTTAAGTTCTTTTGATGTTGTTTTCTAATCAAAATTGGCATTTCATACTGGTAACTTATGCTGCAAATTTTTTATTATGGTGATTACCAAGGTGAACTCCAAATTTGATTTGAGAACTACACCATAAGTACTCAAGCAACTGTATCTAAGTTTTTTTCTTTTTCTGTTTTCATTGTTCATATAAAAGGCTGCAACTTAATTAGTCTCTTACCGTAATATTCAGTGGCAAAGCCTCTCTTTCCAAGACAATGAGATTGATCAAAATTGTTTGTGACTTTTGAAAGTTTCTTGTAAGGCAAGATTCGCCACTTACTGTGCTTTGGAAATTTGTCAGAAGAAGTGCTAGTGAAACAGCACCACTCAAAGTGTTTACATCCCATTCTCACAAGGTAATCACTAAACGTTGCAGGGCCATTGGGATGCTGAGTGTGACCGAGGAAAAAGCTGGCTGATCAGAATGGCAAATTTATACGTATATTAAATTCTATCAAGTATAATTCGTGTTCAAATAAGATCAAAGAATTAAAATTTTGGTGGAATAAGATGAAAAGTACGATTGCTACAAAGAATGTTTTGGTTGTAGTCTTTGGTGACTTAAAAGTACTTGATTTTTCATTATTTTTTGTTTTGACAGCGTGATTTTCATTATCTTACTTTCCTTAAGTAATACTAATGATGGCATACCATATGTCATATTGAGGATCACAACTGAAATGCAAATTAAAAAAGATTAAAACAAAATATACATTAAGAGAATCTGTAAGGGAAAAAATTCTGAATTTTTGTTTGTAGAACTTTAACCTTTTCTTTTCTTTCCATTCTCTGCTCCCCACCCAAAAAAAATTAGAATCACCCATCTCTTTTCTCTCTATTTTGTTTCCTTTGATTTAAGCATACAGTTTCCAATTCTGTTTTAAACAAATATAACTAAAAAAAGAGGAATAAGTTATCAAATAAAGTTAATGTTAATGCAGTAAAACTTTTCCTTTATTTTTTACTGCTCTTTCTCTCTCTTTCTTTCTTTCTTTCCTTCTCTCTCTTTCTTTCTTTCTTTCTCTCTCTCTCTCTCTCTCTCTCTCTCTCTCTCTAAAATTTTCACCTCTCGGTCAGTTATAAATTTTTCACCTCCCTGCCCCTATTTATAGGCATTCTGAGGTCCCCAGAACGGCCCGTACTGAATTCGGAACGACCCGTTCCGGATCCTTCAAACGTGGGCAAATTTCTCAACTGGAACGGCCCGTTCTAAAAATAGAACGGCCCGTTCCCAAAAAGCAGAACGACCCGTTCTCAATCTAAGCAGAACGACCCGTTCTCCCTTTGGAACGGCCCGTTCTCCTTGTTGGAACGGCCCGTTCCCAACTTAAAGATTTAGCTTATTTTTTTTGCTTGGAACGGCCCGTCCCACTTTTGGAACAGTCCGTTCCAAGTTACAAAAATATCCCTATAACTTTAATAAAATTACGAAAATGCCAAATAATAAATAATAGGATGTTACACGTTGCAAATTTGGTCGCTACGAAATACTCATATTTGGCCTCTCGAGGATTTTATTTCATAATACTTCACTTTTCAACATGTTTTGTCCTTAATTAAACAATTTTTGGGAAACTTCCCAGAAGGTCACCCATCCCTATATTACTCCAAGTCAAGCACGCTTAACTGTGGAGTTCTTATGAGATAAGTTACAGAAAGGCATATGCATATTGCCAGTATAGGTAGTACAAATTAATTCATTTAAGTCATCCTCAAATATACAATCTCATACTTATACTATCTTTCGATCCCATTTCAGTATATCCGAACCGTTATAAAAATATAATAATATATTTAATAATTATATTACCAATAATAATAATTATATTATATTTAATTAATGTTAAAATTAAAAATATGTAAAAGATTTATAAACCCTATTAAAAGTGGTATGCAAGCAAACCATGCATATGACATTCCAAGATTATCTCCCTATATATATGATATATATTGTGAGAGAAATACCAAAATTTTGAGCAGCTCATGTGGTTAAATGAATTAAATTATCATCCTCGTTTCTTTGGTTAAAGAAAACTAGAGTTTTAAAAAATGAATTATTCTCCAATTATTCATATGAGATTTTTTAATACTTTCTTCTAACATCAAAATTAATTATCTCTAATGTGAAATTTACGATATTTCTTCTTTCATAGTGACATTTCAGTACAACAATTAGGAAGCATATAATTAAGTATGGCATATGTATTTATGAGAAAGTTAACTATTGTGCATATGTTTTTTTGATCACGCTTCTCTATTCTCATGTGACCAACCTTTCTTAAATAGTTACTTGCACTTCTTTCAATTCAGTGACATTTCAGTACAACAATTAGGAAGCATATAATTAAGTGTGACATATGTATTTATGAGGGAATTAACTATTGTGCATATGTTTTTCTGATCACGCTTCTCTATTCTATCCTGTTAACATGTGACCAACCTTTCTTGAATAGTTACTTGCACTTCTTTCAGTACAGTAACATTTCAGTACAATAATTAGGAAGCATATAATTAAGTGTGACATATGTATTTATGAGGGAGTTAACTATTGTGCATATATTTTTCTGATCACGCTTCTCTATTCTACCCTGTTAACATGTGACCAACCTTTCTTGAATAGTTACTTGCACTTCTTTCAATACAGTGACATTTTAGTACAACAACTAGGAAGCATATAATTAAGTGTGCATATGTATTTATGAGGGAGTTAACTATTGTGCATATGTTTTTCTGATCACGCTTCTCTATTCTACCTTGTTGACACGTGACCAACCTTTCTTGAGCAGTTACTTGCACTTCTTTCAGTACAGTGACATTTCAGTACAACAATTAGGAAACATATAATTAAGTGTGGCATATGTATTTAGAGGGAGTTAACTATTGTACATATGTTTTTCTGACCATGCTTCTTTATTCAACCCTGTTGACATGTGACCAACCTTTCTTGAATAGTTACTTGTACTTCTTTCAGTACAGTGACATTTCAGTACAACAATTAGGAAGCATATAATTAAGTGTAGCATATATATTTATGAGGGAGTTAACTATTGTGCATATGTTTCTCTTAAATAATTACTTGCACTTCTTTCGGTGTTAAGTGGAATTGTGTGGCATTACTACAAAAAAAATTGCATTTAGCGACCACCAAAATCAGTCGCTAAATTGCTAAAATCGGTCGCTATTTGCCTTAGCGACCGAATTTAAGTAGTCGCAAAAACCCTAGTCGCAAAGCTTTATAGCGACCAAAAAATTTTCGATCGCTATTTAGTGACAGAAAATTTTGGTTTAGCAACCAAAAATTTCAGTCGCAAAATGGTTGCAATGATTTTGGTCGTTGATGTGTATGGGGACCAAATTAGTGACCGAATAAATCGGTCGCTAAATCAGTCGCTAAAGATTTATTTTTTATTTTATTAAATTTTATAGACGTTGTGTGACACCCTCTACCCCAACATTAATACACAATAAATGGAAATAATTTTTTTTTTCTTTTCGTTTAAGTAAATAAAATCTTTCATAGTAATAACATCTTTCATGGATAACACAATTGTTTCAAATATCATAAGGTAGAAGATTCACATTCGTAACTCATAAATCATAGAAAGTTATCATGTAAGTATCAAAATTAAATTCAAGAAGTTATATAAAAGAAATTATAGATTAATTCCAGCAAAGGTGGCAGTGCCTCCTAGTTAGGAATTAATTTATAACTTTCAAGTCATGTAATAAAAATAATATGACATAGATACATATTTTGATCTTTTATCAAGGGTGTTCAAAATTACAAAAGAAAGATTATAACTTTATTTACATTATTTCTTCGCTAGAAAATACAAAAGAAAACAAACTAAAGTTAATAATACAATAACATGTTAAACTAAACTAACTATATGCCCCGATGTCACATCCTATCAGAGCATGTCCCATTGAAACCTTAAGCCTCATCAACAATATCCTTATGATGCTGATCACCTGTATCATAATTAAACATACACAAAAACAACAAGGGAGTGAGAAACATCTCACTCAGTTTCAGGTGCAGAAATAAAGGTTAAATAGCACCCACACATACACAACAATTATAAGTCACTTATAAACAATACACATACATCATTAATATCACATATATATTCATTTATCATGCAATGATGTCATGGACTCGACTCATAAATGCATGCATGTGGCGCCATAAAGAAGTTTCACATATCATCACTGGTGACCCTAAGGTACACCTGGCTAGCATGTTACATCGTGGGTGACCCTAAGGTACACCTTGTTAGTCGTGGGTATGCGGCCTCAGCGGCACACCTGGAGTCATATATGCATATGATGCATGTCATACAGTCATTATTTCATTGACTCAACATTTAACTTATTATAGATTTTCATTTAGTACATCATATCCTCATTTGTCATAGTCTCATAATCATAGTTTGTCTCAATAGTCCATGCTTAGGTCTCATGTCATTTGTCCATATTTCACATGGTCATGTCATAAATACTCCTCATAAGGTCTGCACAGGAATTCACAGAGATCCAGAGAGCATTCTTGTTCATATTAAAACTCATTTATTATTAACATTAATTCCATATTTATTTATTACTTTTAACAAAGAACAAAGTAGTGTAAATAGGAAATCAAACAGAACAACGGCACTTTCAATAAAGTAAATAAAAAATCAAACAGAACAACGGCAAGAGATTGAGGGCCAATCCAACAAACAAACTATCCAACAATTATTCCCACACCCCTGAGTGAGGTTCTCACTCCCCCCTTACCTGGATAAGCAGGAGCTGAAACTTGGACAGAGCCTTCTTTTCTGGATTCCCTCTTTTTCTTTCCTTCTCTCTCTTTCTTTCTTTCTTTCCTTCTCTCTCTTTCTTTCTTTCTTTCTCTCTCTCTCTCTCTCTCTCTCTCTCTCTCTCTAAAATTTTCACCTCTCGGTCAGTTATAAATTTTTCACCTCCCTGCCCCTATTTATAGGCATTCTGAGGTCCCCAGAACGGCCCGTACTGAATTCGGAACGACCCGTTCCGGATCCTTCAAACGTGGCAATTTTTTTTCATGGTTTGTATGGTTTTTTATGTTTTATGCTTCCGCTGCCCATTACTTGTCTTAACAGTTAACTACAAGAGTAAAGGAAACCCATTTTTAGGACTACTGAAGTATACACCTTCCTTTAAAATTACAATATATGGCCTAGTCATGAGATTGAGTTGTAGGTAAAAAGTCTTAAGTTCAAATTTTACTGCAATCAGTTTAATCTTTCCTACTGATAAAAAAAGTAGCAATATATGTTTTTGTATGACTGTCATTTTTCATAATTAAAAAAACATTTTGAAATAA